ATCATAACCGTAGATGAGCATGGGGATGAAGCATTACGCAAATACGGAGAGCGTGGTATTCAAATGAGACTTTTGCTCACTCACAGCGATTCAGGCTAATTCATACGCAAAACGTTGCTGCCCATTCCAGTTCTCCGGTCGACTTCTACCTCCCATTTTCCTTCACTGGCAAAGACGATCCGGGATATGTGAATTTCTTCAACATTTTATTTCATTGAATTTTCATCAGCATTTTATTGCTAATTTCTGTATGTTGGTTTATGAATATGTTTTTTGCCGATGGTTTTGTTATGCTGATCGTTAAGTTAGAGCTTTCGTCATCCATGGTGTCAATAAACATCATTGACTCGGTTTATCTCTAAGTTCTGTGTTTCTTTTTAGACCCTGCCAGTCAGCTTCTCGCAGCTCAAGAAACTACAGTGGTTGGATCTGAAAGACAATCCGTTGTCTGCTGAACTGCAGCAAGTGGCCGGTGACTGTCTAGACGACCGCCAGTGCAAGCAGGCGGCCTCGAAGGTATGCTCGGTGGTAGGTTTTTTCTTTTAAGCAAATAAATACGATTTCTTCAGGTGGTGGAGCACATGGAAAAGATACACCTACAGGTTATTCCGAAGCAACACAAAGACTGGTCCAACAAAGAAAGTAAAGTTTAGTGTTTTGTTTTACGTGGTTTGATTGCCCCATGATTTCGAGGTTTGTAGTTTTCAGTTATTCTTACCTCCCTCTACACTGCGGTAACTCGCTAATGTGGGCAATAAGGCTGGAATGAATAGCTGAGTAAGCAAAACTAAAGTTTTATGCTCTGGAGAAAAACCACTTAGCAGGCTCCATCAGTTAATTCATCATGCTTCGGTATTTGAGAGTAGCATTCAGCAGTGACTAGAGAAAGGAAGCGAAGATATATGCATAAACGCACGAACTAGGCAAAGAGTAGCAGTACTAATCTAATTGTCTTCATATCTGAAGTCAAATGTCAAAGTGTTATCTTGGCCATTAGGTATTGACCTAAAGAATCCGCTGTCAGGTGCAAATAGCAGCAGTTAGGCTCTTTTAAAAGACTGCTGATGTTATGAGACCATTAAAATTCTAAACTCGTCAATCCCGACGTTAGCGTTTGAGATGTATACTCAAATTTAGAATCAAAATTTCAGTTTTGTTACAGGATCAGAATGCCAGTCGAAAAACTTTTAAGCAAGGTTCTCGTCACTAATCCGCACTAGAGGTGGGCGTCCGTTGGTCACCGTTTCGAAATATTGATCATCTGGCATTGTGGCTCGATGAAATTCAGAACTGTCAGAGGAAGATGCCTGTCGTAAGATCCTCTCGAAGCCGCTGTCCCACAACCTGAAAAGAATGGCTGGCTTTGAAGACAGACAAAGCGATATCACTTCTCTAGCTTTCATAATCACTCTTCATTTATTGGTCATTTTGAATATCAGGCAAAGAAGGCATCGAAAATGATGCAAGTTTTCTTTTGTAATGCTTCACGTCACTTTTGTCATCAGGTCGCATTCAGGACGGGTACAGAGCAACTGTTCCTTGATGATGATGCTGGAGTGGAGCATCTATATGCACTCTAAGAATGGGATTTTTCTTGATCCTTCTCAATCGATTCCTTAGATATCAATCATAGAAATGGTGAGTAGCCAAGAAAATGTTGTTGATCTGTAGATGTTGAACAGATGAAAAGCTTAGTTTACTAATAAAGTTAGCTTCACTACCGACGATAAGAATAATATACATGCCATTTCTCAAGTGCATTATGAAGTCGCACAGCCCCCTTACCCTCAGCAGCCTAGGAAACCATATACGCATGTCACAGCTCAGTTGTATTCAAACATTCACTTGCATGGTTACAAAACAGCATCATATATTGTGTCGAATTAAAGCATGTTCCCAGCGCCAATGACAAATACCAATATCAATGGTATACCTAAATAATGACCATTTGAAATGTGTGTTCACACTGCTCGCTTTTAATTTTTTTGATGATGCTTCGTGGGGCTATTTGTTCGAACATAGAGATGGTATTTTAAGCCCTTGAATTTCTGGTACTATGGTAGCATTGAGTGGTTGTCTTCCTGAAGGACTCCCTAGGCAGCTAGAGGGGCTCTACGATTTCGCAGTGTAAATTCAAACAAACAACACGTATGATATTAATTGGAGAAAATTTGCTGTTTAGACTTAGCATTACGCAACGATAATTACTGTAATACTTACAGTGTGTCGTCGTTAATCGTCAGGCGGAGGCCGGCTGATAAAAAGTGACCTGCAGTGTTTTTTGTCTTCGCTCTCTCATTTAAGCTGTAGCCCAACCTCCATGTTTTCTGTTGTTTTAGGAGTGGGTTTGCTCTAAAAGATGCCATTTTATAGAGAAAGCATTTTGTTCCCATGTAAAATCTGATTTTCGGTTGTCTGCTCCGCAAGGCGACGGCGAGGGAGCAGGCAGACTGATTTGACAAGATGTGGGTAATGCATCAATATTTGACTTCTGTATTCTGGATATTCAGCAATTACACTAGTAAATTCTGCCTGTATGGTTATGGTGAAAAGTTATTCAAATGAAATCACGTTGTCACTTTATCATTCATTCATTTTCGTAGATCGCTATTCATTTCGGATACCGTGGGCAGCAGCTTT